TGTGTGTGTGTGTGTGTGTGTGTGTGTGTGTGTGTGTGTGTGTGTGTGTGTGTGTATGTGTGTGTGTGTGTGTGTGTGTGTGTGTGCGTGCGTGCGTGTGCGTGTGCGTGTGCGTGTGCGTGTGCGTGTGCGTGTGCGTGTGCGTGTGCGTGTGAGTGTGCGTGTGCGTGTGCGTGTGCGTGTGTGTGTGTGTGTGTGAAAGAATGAAACAAAGAAAATAGCGTTGCAAAATTACAAAATTTGACATTTGGATCGTGGGAACCGACCCATTCGAAGACGGAGTCGACTCCTAAGGGCAAGGTATTCGACTCCTTTTGGAAAGAAAGGAATTTTGAAAAATTAGATTTAGTAGGAATCAATACATATAAATGGGAGTCAACTCCTTCGTGTTATGTATTGACTCGAAGATCCTGAGAGTCGACTCCTTCATGTTATGTATTAACTCTCAAGTCTTGAGAGTCAACTCTTTTTTTACAGAAACATTTAATTTTAATTCTGCTTCAGAGAAAGTTGATTCTTAACACGGGGGAGTCGACTCCAAGCATGTTTTTTCATGAAAATGAAAATTTTTGGCTTTTTTTTTAAAGTTGTCCAAATGCTTTTGACTTGTTCCCTAAGTGTCCTAAGATAAAAATGAAACCTAGACATGGAGATATACCTTCCAATGTACAAATAATACATATTATCTGGTTTTGAAATCATTCAAAACATCTAAGGGAGGATATTATGCTCACAAAGGATACATTCAATCCTAAACGAATATCCTCAATCAATCATGAATTTTTAAAGATGAGATTCAGATCCATGCAACAACAGAAAAAAAATTAGATAAAAGATGAAAGAAATCATTTGCAAGTCTTCAAGAAAGATTCAAAACTCTTTTGAAAATGAAATAACAAGTGGTTTGTGAGTTTTCAAAACACCAGTGAAAGTGTATGTTTTCTAACATTGTGAAATATTTTGAGAGATAAAATTATTTATAGGTGTTGAAAATGAAGCACAAAATAATGAAAAATTATGTTTGACTCGAGTCAAGAACACTTGGTGATTTGATTCAAGTGACAAAGCAAAGTGAAACAAGAACTACACTTAAAAGAGAGATCCATTTTGATGTGATTCGAGTCAAGCACATAACATGATTTGAGTCAAGCAATATGTGATTTAAGTCATGTGTAAGTTATGATTCCACTTAAAATTGGTAGAGACTGAAGGAAACTTCATGATTTGACTCATGTTTAAGCTATGATTCGACTTGCAACTTGCATGATTCAAATCATGCGTAAGTTGTGATTCGACTTACAAGCTCACATAACTTCATGTTTATCTCTACTCAGTTTGATTTGACTAAATGGATTGTGTGATTTAAGTCGCACATCCAAAATCTCAATTTTTGATGTTTTCCAAGATATTTTGAGATTTCACCTGTGACGTGATTTCAACCAATCTCAATTATGAATTCAACCAATCTCAAAACTAGACTAATTGACTTAAAGCATAATGTGTGTATTCAAACACAAATAGTTTGAATTATGCAGGCTAAAATGCAGATCTAAAACTCGATCCTTAAAGAGACATGATTAAAGAGAAGACTCAAATATAAAACTACAATTAAAGTAAGGGAAATGCTCAATATCGCGAAAATTATTTTCACGAGAGCATCACGAAAGGACGTGGCACTCCAACTTTATCTTCTTTATTTATGTTTACCTTTTTTTTTACACAGATATTTTATTATTGTTTGTCTTCCTTATATTTTTCTCTAATATTTTCTTTTCAATTATTTCTCTCTTCCACAACCGCTTTAGTTCACATTCTATAGTTCCATAGCATTTAACTTTGCTGACAAAAGAGGATTTACCTCTCAAGGGATGTGTGAGTATGTTTTCACATCACTAGCTTTTCATTTTTAGAAGTAGTGTGTATTAACCACAAATATATTTTAATGGTGAGAAGAAATTTTGACCCAATTTGAGAAGTAGATGCCAAGTGAAATTTGTGTTGGTTAAGCAAACTTTTTGTGGTATGTGTGTTGTAGACAAAACATGATATTTGCTATAATTCTAAGAATGCTATGAGAATAACATATAGAATGTCAAACACCAATGAACAAAAAGATTAATCATCTAGAATGTGAAAGTTAAGATGGGGAACATAGATTTATCAACAATAAAAAGAAAATGAAGAGCATAGTGTGATGTCAGTTATTGTTATGGAAGAGAAGACAAAGTGAAGTAAAATGATGCTAATTCAAAAAGATCCTATACAGTTTTTTACATTTTTATTCATCGCTCATGATTTCCGATCAATAATGAATTTATTGGTTAAGTGCTGATTCGTGAGCTATTCGTGATTGTAGCTCTCGCGATAAATAGCATTGCTCTTAAAGTAAAGCTTAAGAGGCAACCAACAAAACCACATATAGGTCTCCCCTTATTGTATTAGAGACATACAACTTCATTAGATAGCCCTTTTTCGTTGGTTATTATGCACATCCTAGATTCCCTTTACACGACACAAATACATCACTTGTAACAAGATCCAAAATAACAACGCAAACTCTCAAGTTTCGCTTCTAAATCCACCCCTGGTTCAGACGAGAACTAATTCTTTACAAACATCCATATCTCAATCCACCTCCTTTCACCAACAAGCTACATTCTACGGGGCATTATGTTGGAATCCTATGGGGGTACCCTTGGGCCCATGGACTACTTTTTATGGGATATTATACTGGAACCCTCCGAGATATCCTCACACCTACGGGCGACCTCCATACGAAATATTGTCAGTCAAATCACACACATATTCAAGTTAATCTCAAGTCTTATTTCCTGGATTTCATATTGTATCGTTATACCGAGGACTCGTTATTTGCATCTTCGAGCAGTTCCCCCACACCATCTTCAAGATCAACCTCTTATACCAATCGAATATCCATAATAACTTTCAATTATATCATTTCTCCCCTGTGCAACTCATGTTTGGGTAACTGTGTACTTTAGACCTATCTTTGGTAGATGGGCTTACCATCTTTGGTAGTTAGACTTACTATTATGATGGAGAACACTTCCTATGAGTAGGTCAAGTTCTAGTAAGATTTTCATAATATTATAAGAGTTCCACCTAAAATTAAAATGTGTAAATGTCATTGTCTTCCACTAAAATCACTTCACTCATACGTGTCTCATTATTGGGAAATTGTGTATTGATATATCTATAAAAGATAAGTATGCTCTTTAAGAAGGAGTCTCGACAAGACCATGGAGAATACGCCATAAGAGTTGGCGGGCTCGAAGTAACCAAACTCTAAAGGTTCGGCCTCTTGGTCGGTTTTAGGAAAACATTTCGTCCATACGCAACTCGTGCTTGAGGGAATGTGTAAATATTTGACCTCTTAGAATAGAATTTTGCCCTAACACAACTTATGCTTGAGGGGTTGTGTAAATTTTTGACTGCTTAATAGGTCTCAAAAACATTTTACCTTAAATAGGTCATGCTTATGAGCTGTGTAAATGTTTGACCTCTCGTAGGTCGTATGAAAACATGTCGTCCCTACACTATTCATGCTTGGGGGACTTTGTATTATCAAACATATTCGGCTAGGTCGTTAAGATTGGGTCTGATAGTAACCTGGAGTCAATAAAGCCCGCCCTAACATGTATCCCTCCCAACATATCAAGGATAGGCTGAAGTAATTAGTTGACCAGGCCGGTCGTACTGCCCCAAAACCAATAAGGATGGAATATTCGAATTAAGATACAAGTGATAACATATTTATAGGTAATCGATAACATTTATGGCCCATGATCGGGAAATAAAGTTTGATCCAAATTATCATTAACAAATCACATTAATTAGAAACAAGAGTTAAATATGTTTTTGGTCCCTATAAATATCTCAAATTTCATTTTTAGTCCCTATAAAAAAATGACATATTTTAGTTCTTGCAAAAATTTTAAATATGTAGTTTTAATCCTTGTTATTTTCTAAAATTTTGAAAACTGTTTAATTATTCTTAAATTTTTAAATTTTTGAATAATTTTTTTCATACATGTTTAGAATATTATAAAATAATTTTTTTAATCAAATTTTAGAATTTTTAAAAGACAAGAATTAAATTTAAAATTTTAAAATTTAAAAGATAATGATAAAAATAATAAAAATCTTGATTTTAAAATTAAATTTTAAATTTTTTTTTTGAAAAACTTGTATAACATTCTAAACATGTCTGTAAAATAATAATTTAAAAGTACAAATTGATTTAATAGTATGGACTAAAATTACGTAGATAATAATTTTATAAAGACCAAAAAAAAAATTTTTTTTTTATAAAAATCAAAAACAAAATTTAATAATATATTGAGATCGAGAAACATATTTAACTATAAAAATAATCACTTGGATAGTATTTGATAAGCCTTGAGTATGGAATGAGTTAAAATTAATATATAAGGAGATAATAAATAAAATAACAACTTACATAACATTCTACTGATTTTATTTACCCTTGCTAATTAAGTCATCACTGATATATTTTTCCGAATATATTGATATTTATAGGCTACAGTACTTGTAAAGACGATGAAATAAATATATAAAAACAATATGATAATATAGAAAGAAAGAAGGAGAATTGAGAATTGAAAACATTATGCAAGTTAAAAGTCGTTGATAAGAGTCCACAAAATACAGAGACTTTTACCAGTCTCCTAGGTGCCACATGGGTCCTACTTAGATGACATGGAATAGCCCAATTTCTAGACAGTAGACTCCTTAGGGGTCCATACTTTTTCTTCTATATAAACTACCCAACGTGCACTCGTCTTTCTCACTTCAACCTTATATAATAAAGAGCCTTCTCTAGCAATTCAATTAGAGATACATACTCTCTCCAGTTCTTCCATTTCTTTTCTCCATATATCTTCTTTTTGTTCCCTAACTCACTCTCATCACTTTATCATAAGCAACTACCTCAAAACCTTACCTTATCTTCTTTGAACATGGCTGTGGACTCAACAATTTCATCTCCATTAGGTCCACCTGCGTGTGAGAAAGACGCAAAGGCACTTCGATTCATCGAAGAAATGACTCGAAATGCCGACTCCGTTCAAGAGAGGGTACTGGCTGAGATTTTAAGCCGAAACGCCGAGACTGAGTACCTTAAACGCTTCAAACTTGACGGCGCTACCGACCGTGAAACATTCAAGAAAAGGATTCCTATTATCACGTACGATGATGTTCAACCCGAGATTCAAAGAATTGCCAATGGTGATCGCTCTCCAATTCTCTCAGCTCATCCCATCTCTGAATTTCTAACAAGGTACCAATATTTTGTTTTCATTCATTATATACTTTTTTTTTAAAGGAAACTAAATTTGAAATTTGGAATCTGCAGTTCTGGAACTTCAGCTGGTGAAAGGAAACTGATGCCAACAATTAAGGAGGAGTTGGATCGTCGCCAACTTCTATACAGCCTTCTCATGCCAGTAATGAACCTGTAAGTTCTACCCAATAATTGAACTTCTCACAAATATTTGTTTTATCTTTACTTTTTTTTTTTTTATTCTTATCCATGTGCTTAATAATGTATTTTGTCTTTACTTGGCAAACTTTCAACCGTTTTTCTGAAATAATAATGAAAACACTAAAGTTAGGTGAGTTGTATAATTTTAAGAAAAAAACACTTAATAAAAATAGATTTTTTTGGGCAAATATCCTTATAAACTGGAATTATTATTTATCGAGTAATACTTAATTTATGCTAATAATGGTTATTATTTTGAATGGAACAGTTATGTACCAGGATTGGACAAAGGAAAAGGCTTATACTTTCTATTTGTGAAATCAGAAACAAAGACACCGGGTGGGTTATTAGCCCGCCCAGTTCTCACAAGCTACTATAAAAGTGAGCATTTCAAGACCCGACCCTACGACCCATACAATGTCTACACAAGTCCAAATGAAGCAATCCTCTGCCCCGACTCATTCCAAAGCATGTACACTCAAATGCTATGTGGACTCATTGAACGGAACCAAGTCCTCCGCCTTGGCGCCGTCTTCGCCTCCGGCCTCCTCCGTGCAATTCGCTTCCTTCAACTCAATTGGGTTGAGCTAGCCCATGACATTCGAACCGGAACTTTGAACTCTAAAATAACCGACCCGAGGATAAAAGCCCATATGGAAAACATCATTAAACCCGACCCGGAATTATCTTCGTTTGTGATTCAAAAATGCAACAAAGAAAATTGGGAAGGGATCATCACAAGAATATGGCCTAACACAAAATACCTAGATGTCATTGTAACTGGTGCTATGGCTCAATACATTCCGACACTTAATTACTACAGTGGTGGGTTACCTCTTTCTTGTACTATGTATGCTTCCTCGGAATGCTACTTCGGACTTAACCTTAATCCTATGTGCAAACCGTCTGAGGTTTCTTACACGATCATGCCAAACATGGCTTACTTCGAGTTCCTACCGCACAACTCTGGGTCAACGAGGTCAACGCGACTCGTTGACCTTGCTGACGTTGAAGTTGGAAAGGAGTACGAGCTAGTGATAACAACTTATGCAGGATTGAACCGTTACCGAGTCGGCGACATTCTCCGAGTCACTGGTTTTCATAACTCAGCTCCACAGTTTCACTTTGTGCGGCGTAAGAACGTGTTGTTAAGTATTGACTCGGACAAAACAGACGAGTCGGAGCTGCAAAAAGCAGTGGAGAATGCTTCCAAGTTGCTTGTGGAGTTCAACACGAGTGTGGTGGAGTACACGAGTTACGCTGACACGAAAACGATTCCGGGTCATTATGTTATATACTGGGAGTTGTTGAGTAAAGACTCGTGTAACTCGCCGAGTCAGGAGGTTTTGAATCGGTGTTGTTTGGAAATGGAGGAATCTTTGAATTCAGTTTATAGACAGTGTAGAGTTGCGGATCATTCGATTGGGCCATTGGAAATTAGGGTTGTAAAGAATGGAACTTTTGAGGAGCTTATGGATTATGCAATATCAAGAGGTGCTTCAATAAATCAATATAAGGTTCCAAGGTGTGTGAATTTTACTCCTATAACGGAACTTTTGGATTCTAGGGTGGTTTCTGTTCACTATAGCCAAGATTTGCCACAATGGACCCCTGAGAGGAGAAGATGATTAATTTGATTAATTTTGACTTTTGGGACTTTGATGGAAGATGATGGCTTAGAACGTAGAAGTTTTTTTGGTTAGGTTAATTATGTATTTTGATTTAATCAGTTAACTTGTACCAAACATGTGCAACTCTCTTTAGTAAATTCCTCTAATGTAATTTGCATGTATTAATGGTTTCAATTAGAAGTAAAACAATATTATTTTCTCTTGACAAAGTTACTCGATATGTCTTTATCAAATATTTTTTGATTGAATAGAATGAAAAATAATATATTGAATATATCACTAAACTTCATACATAAATAATTCTTATTATTATTATTGATCTTTAGTTAGTTCAATAGTAATTGATATTATATTTAATAAAAAACATTATGGTTCAATTCTCTACAACAATAATTATGAGAGTGTTGGAATTACTTAATATCAGAATTACGAGTAGTGAAAAAGAACAATACACATTATTATTTATAGACGAAAAATCACTAATAAAAATTATAAAATTCACAAAAAATTGTGTAATTATAATGGTTGCCACATAATAGTTGAATCCGATCATCAAACCGGTAAGAATACTGAATTAGTGGTTCATCGGTCGAATCACTGGATTACTGGTCAAACCCCATGCCCAAATCGGATAATTCAGTTTAATAGACCCGTCATTATAACAAAACTATATAGATATAAAACCAGTCCAACCGGATCATTCAATCTCTTAAAAAATATAAATAGCACTTAAATTTATAGAAAATATCATATCATAAATTCACTAGTTCATAAATTAAATTCAAATTTAAACATAAGTATCACAGATAATAAAATAATACAAAATTACAAAGTCTAATGGCAAACAAAGTCTAATTGCAACACTTTAGAACAAAAATACTCTTGTTATCTATTAAGTTAGTTCCAAGGAGGTAAAATTATTTCAATGTTAAGATCTCCTTCAATATCAAAATCATCATCAGCAAAATCAATCGCATTTGCAACATCTTCTCCATCAATGATACCATTACTTTGGTTGTTTTCTCCAAAATTAAATTGTGCATCTCCCTTAACGTCAATCTCATCCAAATTTAATTCATCTATAACAACACCAATTTAAAGAGTTTAGCAGTTGACATATAGTAATAAATTAAAATAACATAATTGTAATCACAATAACTAATACCATACTAATATCATTTGAAATAGGTTGGATTGTCATACTAGCAAGATTTTTGCGTAGTGCTTCCACCTCCTCAATGATCAAGAATGGTGGTGAATCCCCGAACACCCAATTAGAATGATCACCAAGTGTTTCAAAATTGATTGGACCATAATTTTGTTTCTTCTTGGTTCTATAAATCATTAATGATAATGTCAAACATAGAATCAAACAAACTTAACAAATCAAACAATAATATACATTCTTAACAACCCAAGAAATATCATATATTTTTAACTATAGAACCATAGAATATTCCAAACAAACCAAACAATAGCATATTTCTTAAACTATTAAACCATATCATATATTCTTAGTTATAGAACCATGGAACCAATATTCATGTCATTAAATATCGAAACAGTAGCATGTAAGGCATAATAAGTGCAATACATATTTTGTAGCCGTAAATTGTAACGAGCGTAAACGAGGTCATTAAGCTTTTGATGCTCCAACCTATTTCTCTTTTTTGAACGAATGTGTTCAAATACACTCCAATTTTATTCACAACCAGATGCACTACAAGTTTGACTCAAAATCCAAATAGCCAGCTTTTGCAAATTGGACGCTTCGGTTCCATAAGTGTCCCACTATTGATCTAGAATAATGCATGTAAAAAAATTAGAAAACGTTTTAAAATACATATTGACATTGCACTAAAATGCATAAAGTTTATCATATGATTTTACCTGGCAAAACTTCATCTCGATTTTCTATGACTATTGTCCTTTCAAAACTACCTTCATAATTTTTGAATGAAGTCATCTCATCTGTTAATTTAGATCGTAAGTCCTTACTATCATAAGCATACTTTTCAATGACATCCAAAAGGCCTTGGGTGGTGGACTTGTTTTTTCCATATTCAGGATTGAATCTATAAGATGGATTTAACCAATAACCAGCAGCATAGAGATTTTTGCGAAATTGTGCATCCCAACGGTTATCCAAGATCTTCAAACGAGGCTCTAATTTCAACTTATTTCTTCTAAACCTCTTCTCAATCTCCTCTCTTGCTTTACACATAGCTCGGTAGAGATATCCCACAGCCGATTTATCTTCACTATCAACAATACACAACACACGTACAAGAGGTTCTGTAACTTTCACTTATGTCAGCACATGTAGACCAAAAGCTTGAGTCTAAGACTTGTTCCACAAATTGCTTTGCCTTAACATCTTTGGAATAAGTTGTGGTTGTCCACTCTTTGGATGTTACCATGACTCTTAGTGCATCTTTATGAGACAAAATACTTTGCAATGCAATGAAATTAGTAGTAAAGCGGGTTGGAGCAGGACGGAGTATTTCTCTTCCACCTGTATTTTGTCTCATCAAATACAATGCAAACAATGATTATATATGTATTTGATAACTTTTGAAACATGTGACACTGTCTCACTTACTTCCTCTAATTTCCTCATGTCTTACAACATCAAATTAATACAGTGTGTTGTACAAGAAGACCAAAACAACTTAGAAAACTCCTTTTCCAACAACTTTCTAGCAGCAACATAATTCACAGCATTATCTGTAACTATTTGAACAACATTTTCTGGGCCAACATACAACACTACTTCCTTGAAAAGCTTAAACAATGTGTCTGCAGTTTTAGAAGCACCAGAGGCATCAACAGACTTTATGAAAACAATTCCTTTAGGGAAATAAACTAAAAAGTTGATAAGAGTTCTCCTACAACGATCAGTCCACCCATCTGCCATAAGAGTAAAACCTGTATCATTCCAAATAGAACGATATTTCTATTTTTGTATCTTCACGTCATCAGCCCACTTATTTAACAAATTACCACGAAGAGCATGCATAGTAGGAACTTTACATCCAGCACCCATGCAACAAAGAGCATCAACTGCGGGTTGAAAACACAGTGAATTTGCAGCATTGAAAGGAATAGATGCATAAACAAACCACTTGGCAATAGCAATATCACACTTTTCTACCACTTTTTTACTTTGCATCACACTTTTTAAAGTAGGTTGAGCTCCCAGAGTTGTTTTGGGTAAAAAATAAGTACCAATGTGAGCGTCAATCTTTTCCATCAGGACTTTTAGTACAATGTATCCAAGCTATATCACTTTTTCCTCTAACGTTATTTTGAACTAAACTTTAAGCTGAAAATGCTTCTTATGATGGTGGTTGTGATGATGGTGTTTCAGAAGATGCCATATTCCTGTAAAACAGTTCAAAATTGCCAAGTCCATAAACATAATTCAAATGTATGTTCAAAACAAAAGTACTTTTGATAAACAAATTCAATCATGTAGAACTTTCTAAACATACTTTATAATGAATCTAAACTATTTCTACAAACGTAAGACCCTGTTTGGATGAAAGATGAATAGTTTCACAATACTCTACTAAGCCTTCTGAATTGGATTTCATTCCAATTCCCAAAATATGAGCCCTATTCACATATAGGGTATATTATATATTAGTATTATAACAGGTTGAAGATACAAAAATTGAATATACAGTATGTTATATATTATGCTATTGCTACTGTATGTATAGCAGAAACTAAATTGCTAATTCTATTCATAACTTATAAATCAAATATACTAAAATAAAAACTAATTACAACAACAAATCAAAGAAAACAATTTCAAGTTTCAACAACAAATTGGAAGTTAGAATAGAGTTATAGCATAAGCAACAACAAATTTCAACAATTTCTTCTTGAACTAACCCTAATTTTTACCATATATTAGAATAAAAAATTAAAGAACATACGGTGGTGCAGCGGGATCTAGACGGAGGTACGGTGGTGTTCCAAAACGGCCGGCGAAAACGGTGCGAGGCTGTCACGAAACGGTGGGAAATTTCTGTCTGTTCTCATGTCTCGTTCTCACTCTGCTTCTTTTTCTTACTGTTCTACGTTTTTGGAATTGAAAGTGAAAGGAATTTTTTTTTAATTGAAAAAACTCAAAATGATGTCGTTTTGAGCACAAAAATTTTTAAAATAAAAAAAAAAATGCTTCTGAACTGCTGGTTTACCAAAACCCCCCGTTTTCCAGTTTTTCCCAGCCAGATTTTTATGTTATTAATTAATAATTTAATATTTTCGTTAATATTTAATATTTTGATCAGTAACTTCATGTTCTCGTTAATATTCAATATTTTAATCATTAATTCCATATTTCTGTTAATATTTAATATTTTGATCAATAATTTCACGTTTCTGCTAATATTCAATATTTTAATCAATAATTCTATATTCTCGTTAATATTTAATATTTAAATTAATAATTTCATATTTCTGTTAATATTCAATAATATATAAATATTATTCTTCTCATATAATATATAAATATTATTCAACAACTATATAAATATTTAACAATATATAAATATTATTCAATAATATATAAATAATATAAATATTATTCTTCCCGTTAAAGTTGTTGTGTTATAATCATACTTAGGTGTGATAAAATTGATTCGACCTATTGAGCATGTCTATTTTTTCTGTTATTTTTTGCGATATTGACTAAAGTTTTTGATTCACAATCTCAATTATATCTGATTTATCCTATTTTTTTCGGGTATTTACGGAATATGTATAAACACGAAAAACATGTATGTCACCCCTAACCATACTACACAAATATTTAAAATTAATAATTGTTTTAATAAACATCAAAATCTATTTTCATATTATATTAAATTATTCAATATTTATAGTACCATAGATATTAAATCATAAACTGAAATTTAAATAATTAATTAATATAATTTATTAAGATTAATTGAGTTATATAATTTTTTATTTTTAAATAGAAGACAATATTGTTTTATGAGACAATATTAAAATGCTTTGAATCTTTTGAAATACATAAATTTTCAAAAAAATTATTTAAATTTTGTATGTATCAACTGAAAATTTTTGTTTCAATTATTATTTCAATATAACCGAATTACAAGAAACATCTAATAACAGCACAAGATATATATAATCCAATTACAAGTAACATCTAATAACAGCATGTAACTCCCCATTAGTAAAATGGTCAATTAAATTCAAATATCTAAGTGAATGTCAAGGAGCATTACTTAATGTCTAAAACAACAATATCCAAATTCTCAAATTTCTAAAAAGTTAAATGTTAGACCAAGTGTTCATTGTATATATTACTTGTGTTTATATTGGCATGCACCACTACTATCAGAGTCGTTGTACTTTACCATTATGTGAAACAATTTGGTTTATGTGAATAATCTGGTTTATGTGAAATAAACTGGCTTATGTGAGACAAAAACGATTGTTTTACAATATGGTTTACAATTTGATTTATGTGAAACAATCTGATTTAAATTGCATAAGATAAAGGTTACCAAAAATAATGGTAAATGTATCATATGATAATGTTTACCAAAGTAGCATCACAAATGCAGAAAAATATTGTTGGAAATTCACTAAATTCTATGATGAATTTCTACCACAATGACAATTTAATTATGAGACAAACAAAGAAAAGAAGACAAGACAAATAATTTCTGCAGAGTTTCTCTCTGCTCACAAACTGTGAAAACTTTCTTATTCATTTTGCAACTGCAAAATACTGTGAATGACTTGCTTGACTTACTTACAAAAATAGGGGTTACTCCCTTTATTTATAACTGAGCTTACACCCTAAGCCTAAAACCCAAAATATCTTTTTGTTACTAAATCTAATCTAATTTATTCTAGACTTAAATCAAAACAAATCGAATCTTTTCGACACATAGTTTCGACACACTGGATTACAATTTAACACACCACCTAATTCATTGTGTCTAAACTATCTATGTTCATCATGGCTCTTAGTCTTTTGAATACTTCGACTTGCACTCCCTTCGTCATGATGTCTGCAATCTGATTCTCAGTTCTGCAGTGTTCCAAATTCATCTTCCTATCTGCTACCTGCTCTCGAAGATAATGGAACCTCATTTCGATATGCTTACTTCGACCATGTGTTATTGGGTTCTTCGCCAGATTAATAGTTGACATGCTGTCTATCTTCATGGTAATTGCTCCATGATTTTTCCCTGTTATCTCTTCGACCAAGTTCACCATCCAAGTTGCTTGACATGCACAAAGAGAAGCAGCTATGTATTCTGCTTCGCATGATGATAATGTCACTACTGGTTCCTTTCTTGAATTCCAAGCAACGGATGCACCACCTAGCATAAACACATATCATACTGTTGACTTTCGATCTTCAACATCACTACACCAACTCGAATCAGTGTATTCCACTAACTTGCATTCTTTTCCTTTATCAGTTGCAGGAAACAAAATGCCATAATTGAAAGTTCCTTTGAGATACCTTAGTATCCTCTTCACTGTTGCTAGATGTGATACCTTTGACTTCTGCATGAATCTACTTACCATACCTACACTGTATGCTAAGTCAGGCCTTGTATGACAAAGGTATCTTAATGATCCAATAAGTCTTCTGTATTGGGTTGGATCAACATCATCTTCATCTGCATCTTTCGACAGTTACAATCTTGGTTCTGCAGGTGTCGAAGTTGGGTTGAATTCTTCCATCTCAAATCTCTTGAGAATTTCTCCTGCATATCTTCTTTGATGCATCATCAAACCTCTACTGCTCTTGTAGAATTTGATGCCAAGGAAATATGAAATCTCACCCAAATCAGACATTTCGAATTCCTTACTGAGATCACCTTTGAAGTCTTCAATCTCACTTTTACAGCTACCTGTTATCAACAAATCATCTACATAGAGACATGGTATAAGCAATTCACTATTGCTTCTTCTTACATATACTCCATGTTCAGTTGTGCACTTCACAAATTCCTTCTCCCTTAGAAAACTATCAATTTTCTTATTCCAAGCCCTTGGAGCTTGTTTCAATCCATACAGGGCTTTATGCAGCCTGTACACCTTTCTTTCTTCGTCATGTTTCACAAACCCAACTGGTTGTTTAACATAGACTGTAAGAACAAGATTAGTTCTGATCTATCTCAAGAGTTTTGATGATAACTAAATTATATTTAAGATAATTTA